TACCAAATACTAATTTCCTGTCTGGATTAATGAGCTGATTGTTTGGACTCTAACAAAATATTTCTAATTAAATGTGTACAGCAAACTGTATGTTCTTCAATATTTACAACCTCAAACACTTTACATACAGTTTGTTCACTTAAGATCCATTGCTACACAGAAATAAATTATGTGAACTGTAGACAAAAAATGGGGAACCCAATTGGGGAACTATAACAAATCCAAAAAATCAGTGGTTTTACTTGGAGTTAGCTCTTTGCATCAATAAATTTGCACTCAATGTCTTTTTTAAGCATTTTCAGTTAGTGAAAGAAATTTAACATGTTGTTACACTTATTCTACAATCTTCAAGTTGTAAGAACTGCCAGGGACACCGTGCTGGTCTAAGCTTGGTTATCTTTTGGAAAGAATTTACTGGAAGCTTTTTAGAGTTTTTAAAATTGATTAAAATGTACAAGTTATAATATTTGATGTTAAACAAGTTATTTCTATACAATGTGATAGTATGCATAATTATGAGTCCAATAAATATTAAATATTAAATACCACTTGTGTACAGTAGTTATCTATTGTTCTCTGTTTCTCCATGAATTACTTCCATCATCATCATCATCAACATCATCATCATCATCATCATCATCGTAATAATGATACATTAAACTTGTATGCCACCCAACTCTCTACGACTGGACAAACTGTTTTGAGGATGAACTTTTACAATCTTTCCAAAACATGATGAACTCTAACCTACAGGGAGGAAAGATGCCAGAGAGTTGGAAAAAGGCCAGTATAGCATTAATGCCTAAAGAGGGACAAGATTTAACAAGAAACTATAGGTCGGTATCATTACTGAATAATGACTACAAGTTGTTCACAACCATTTTAGCTGATACATTGAAAATAATTTTTCAAGAATTTATTCACAAAGAACAATGTGGGTTTTTACCTAAAAGGCAGTTAAAGGACAATCTTAGAAATGCGTTGGACATTTTGGAATATTCGGAGCAACATAATGAAAAACAAGCCACATTGATTTTCGTAGATGCAGAGAAGACCTTTGAGAATTTGAACTGGGTTTTCTTGTTCAAAGTTTTGGAAGATAAGAATTTTGCAGAGAACTTTATAAAATGGATGAGAGTGATTTATGCTTCACAGAAAGCACAAATAACTGTTAATGAATATCTAAGAAAGCCCTGTGAGATACAAAAAGGAACAAGACATGGATGCCTACTGTCTCCTCTCTTGTTTATTTTGCTTCTTGAAATACTAAATAGAGATATGAAACAAGGTGAGAGGATTGTGGGAATAAAGATTTAAAAAGAAATTTATAAGTTAGGGGCTTTTGCAGATGACTTGATGTTGGTTCTGGAAGATCCTTTAAAGGGA